AGTGCTGGCAGGGATGTGGAGAGACTGGGACACTCCTGCATTGCTGGTGGGACTGCAAAATGGTCCAACCTCTCTGGAAAGCAATATGGTGCTTCCTCAGAAGGTTGAAAATAGAAATACCTTATGATCCAGTAATTCCTCTACTTGGTATTTACTCACAAGAAAAATGAGCCACAACACGAGAAGATATATGCACACCAATGTTCATAGCAGCGCTATTTACAATAGCAAAATGATGGAGACAGGCTAAGTGTCCAACAACTTTAGAATGGATAAACAAACTGTGGTACATACACACACAATGGAATATTATGCTACCTTGAAAAATAAGAAGGAAGTTGCAAGTCACCACCTAACATGGATGAACCTTGAGGACATTATGTTGAGTGAAATTAGTCACAAAAGGAGAAATACTGCATAGGACCACTACTGTAAAATACTAAGAAAAAGAACCCATAATAAAAGGGGGTGGATTCTTTGCTGGTCCTGGGATGTGGGAGTGGGTTAGGGGAGGGAGGGAAAGGTGGAGCGCAGGGCAGGGAATAGACACAGGATAGTTTGGGTGCTGGGGAGGGGGGCAATATACAAGAAGGGAGAGGGGAATGGAAGAACAAAGCAGATGGGAGCACAATTAGGTTTGCATGGGCTAAGTGGAACCGAGGTAAATAATGATGTATGCACAACCTTGGAACAACAGGGCTCTGGGATACAGAGACGGTTGGAATGAGGAAAAGGGAGGAATAATGTTAAGATGCTTGGCTGTCTTTTGAATCTTGGTTTTCTTTGCATTATATTGTAAAATAGACACTGGACAGAAAGGAATAGCCAAAAACATTACCATAGAAAGCTTGTAAATCCGTTTTCTGCCTATAACTGATTGGAATACCTAAAATGGGGCTATAAGGTGACCAGTGAAGGAGGCTTCCTGTGGAGCCTCTGCATTACATTTGACTATAGGTGGAAGTCTGAACCACATCCAGAGCTTCAGAGATGGGAAATTTCCACTTGAAAGAACAAGCAGACCAGCCTGGAGCAGCTAGAAGTACAGAAGATACATCTTGAAAGAAAGACCTACAGGAAAAATACAGAACAATAGAGACAGACTGGCTGTTATTACAAGAACTAGCAAGTTGCTTGCCCAGGAGACATCAAGGCAAGTGGTCGGGTCCCCTCAGTGCAAACCCTCTTTCAAGAGTAAGACTGAATGGGAATACATGCTCTGATTGGTGACCATGCTCATCACCGATAAGGGGAAGTGAGGGAAAAACAGCAATGAAGAAGCAAGCTAAGCCCTACAACCTTCAATAGACTCCTATGAACCCAAGTGGAGACCTGGTCAGCCAGCAGTGTGGCAAGACCTGGGGACTCTTGGGCCCAGAGTCAGTGACATAGCCACAGAGGACTAGAGTGGAGAGTGATGCATCCAGCTGTTGAGAAGAGAGGGCATATGCACAAGAACACCCATACATGCAGATAATACCCACTTGACCTGGATTCTATGACTGGATGATCAGAGTTCAACCAGAAGAAGATAGAAGAGGGAAAAAAAAAAAGAGTAATCAGATACAATTTGATTAACTTGACCTACACCTATGGATGCGGCAACTCAAAAGAGGAAACGAATCCTTACAGCAAGGATCATTCCCAACCCCTCACCCCCTCCACACACAGAGTAGACAGGGTTGGGCAATTTGGACATTGGCTACCCAAAATTGGGGAGGGGGGAGTTCAAAGCAAGAAGTCACTGGCTTACAAGATTTCAAGAGGGAACCTTGATCCAGAGGGCATGGAGGAAGGTAGACTCTCCAGTGAGTAGTATCCAATCTGTCTAGGCAGGACTGATGAAATGAATTGCAGATAGGTCTCTTGTGATACAATAGTGAATAATTGTTATCAGAACTGCTTGTGAGGGTTAGAAATGTAAAGGTAGACATTTTATAGCAAGGAGGGGCGTGATTAACTTTTCAGTCTAGGAGCGGAGGTCCCTGGGACAATCAATGGAGAAGAGTGGACAGCAGGACCCTTCCCAGAGAAGTAATGATGCCTGAGATGGAGGCAGAGATGATGACATGGAGAAATGGAGCAGCTGGAGACTTTAGATCCATAGAGGGAGAATGACTGTGTACTGACGACCAGGGGGCAGGCTTGTAGTGTATACTGTTTGATGATGCATGGAGGGGATTGTAACCATGGCAATGAGAGAATGTAAAACTAATGTTCTCCTATGTAAATTATCATATAATTCACAATAAAACATTTTTTTAAAAAATCTGGCAAAGGCATGTCTTGCTTTCATTTTACAGATACAAAGATGGTAAAGTAAAAAGTCCAATGACTCACAGCAAGGAGGCAGGGGAATCCGGATTCAAATCTAGCCTTGGAACTTAGATTCCATTTGAGTCTTCTCACATGGATGGGACACCAGGTCCTCCTAGATCTCTGAGGCTCGTAAGTAATTAACTTTCTCATGACCTTCAACTATCACAGCATAGTACCTTCTCCAGGTAACCAATGGGAAAGAAAACCTAAAACATCCCTCATCATCTCAGTCCAATAAGCCATTGAGACAAGCAGTAAATTCTTCCTGATTTCCCACCTCAATACCACCAGCCTCAGTGGATACAGGGATGGGCAATACTCAGTCAAAGTAAGTAAAAATGCTTTATCCACGTCCTTCCACACCTTGTAGATTCCACATCTGGGAGGAATTCTGGGTGCATCTGCTGGCAGAGACTGACGCATTCTGAGTGAAACGCGGGAGGCCCGGAGCAACAGTGTGCAGGGGTGGACGTGTAAGTGTCAGCAGCACTTTCCTTCCTACTCAAAACTTCCCGAGCTTTTCTCTGGAAGGCAAGAGACCTGGGTTTTTTGCCCTAAGTCTGTTGCTAAATCGTTTCCTGGCCCCCTTCCAGTCCTTAGCTTTTGTAAACAGTAGACTGTAGACTTGATTGGTGGATTTCAAACCATTTTTAGTAATAAAGCTTTTTTTTTTTTTTTCCCCAAATGAATTCTTTGGCGGAACCTCAAAATATGAAACAGATTCAAAACAGAGCTGCTCAAGTTGACGCAGGAGTGGATTGGGGGGGGGGGGGTGCCTCCACACCATCTATCTACTCAGTCTCTTCCATGAGGGAGTGTGGCTCCATAGAAACAGGGGTCCTCTAGGGGAACATAGTTTGAAAACTACATTAGAGGATTTCTAAGGACCCTTCTGGATTTAGTACCCCAAGTTCATATGCCCTAGCATTCCTCTTATAAAGATAGGGTTGCTTTTCTGATGTTATAAATGGGAAAATGGATGGCCAGAGAGGTTAATGGTTTTCTCCAACAAGCTCCAGGCTTCTGACTCAAAGTCCTATGTAGTTCCTAGCAGGCTGGTTCAACTTCTACAGAACAGGTTTACCACATAGAAGGATAGACTGAGCCTCAGCCCTTGTTAATTCCTTACTCACTGGGGACAAGCAAATAAGAGAATACTTTTCCATCCCCTAAACCCTGTCCTGCAGCCAGTCTGGCCACCTCTAGCTGTAAAAACAAAGTATTCAATTATTGAGACCCAGCAGGCTAATGGTATCCTGTGTCTCCTTCTGTAGGTGAGTCGTCTGGATCATGAGGTCATTCCTTTGCTGGCTCCTTCTACTTGTCATCATGGCCTCAGTGACCCAAGGCCAGCCAACAAGGAAGCCAAAATTTAAATTAAAGCCCAAGTCCAGCAGGCTCAGGCCCACTCCCAGCTTTCATGAGTCCTTGGAGCCTTTGGAGCCTACAGACCTGCCCCCTCCCCTCCCACCAGGTCCTCCATCTATCTTCCCTGACTGTCCCAGAGAATGCTACTGTCCCTATGATTTCCCATCTGCCCTCTATTGTGATAGCCGCAACCTGCGAAAGGTCCCTTTCATCCCATCCCGTATCCATTACCTCTATCTCCAAAACAACTTCATCTCTGAGCTCCCACTGGAATCCTTCAAGAATGCCTCAGATCTGAGGTGGATCAACTTGGACAACAACCGGATTCGAAAGGTAGATGAAAGGGTGCTGGAGAAACTTCCCAGCCTTGTCTTCCTCTACATGGAGAAGAACCAACTGGAAGAGGTCCCCTCGGCCCTACCCAAGAACCTGCAGCAGTTGAGGCTGAGCCAGAACCATATCTCCAGGATCCCAACTGGAGCCTTCAGCAAGCTGGAGAACCTGCTGCTCTTGGATCTCCAACACAACAGGCTGAATGACAATGTCCTTAAGCCCAACACCTTCCAGGGCCTCAAGAACCTCATGCAGCTCAATCTGGCCCACAATACCCTGAGAAAGATGCCACTTAAGGTGCCCACGGCCATTCACCAGCTCTACTTGGACAGCAATGAGATCGATGCCATCCCAAAAGACTACTTCAAGGCCTTCCCCAACCTTGCCTTCATCAGGCTTAACTACAATAAGCTCTCAGACAGGGGACTCCCCAAGAACTCCTTTAACATATCCAACCTGCTGGTGCTTCACCTGTCACACAACATGATCAGTAACGTGCCTGCCATCAGCAACAAGCTGGAGCATCTATACCTGAACAACAATTCCATTGAGCGTGAGTGTGGTGGGGCTGGGGTGGGGCCATAGGGAGGGAGGATGGAGACTCTGACACTGAGCCTCAGAGTAGGGTGACACAAAGAATCTACTTTGACACTGGACTTATATGTAAATCTTGGCCATGCCGCTTACTGTCTGTGTGGCCTTCAAAACAATCTTGGTCCTCTCTAGGAAGTTTCCTGATATTTAAAATGAGAGTGGTAGTAATGCTTCCTGTCATAAATTTGATGTGAGTACTTAATAGTTTAATATAGATGTTGTGGTGGTGGTGGTGGTTATGTGCTGTGGAGTCGGTTCCGACTCATAGCGACCCTGTACAGGGTTTCCGAGGCTGTAAATCTTTACGGGAGCAGAAAGCCTCATCTTTCTCCTGTGGAACAGCTGTAGTTGTTGTTAGATTAATATGGATAAAATGCCTAAAATACCACAGCAGTATAAGTTGCCATCAAGCCAATCCCAGCTCATGGTGACCTATGTGTGTCAGAGTAAAACTGAGCTCCATTAAGTTTTCAATGTCTAATTTCTTAGAAGTAATGCAGCTTATGGGAAGCCACCACCTGTCTGTCAGGGGAGGTTTCTGTGGAGCTTCTAGACTAAGAGGAACTAAGAAGAAAGGCCTGGAGATCTACTTTTGAAAATCAACCAGTGAACACCCTATGGATCACAACAGTGCAATGTGCAACCAACCATGGGGATAGTATAGTGCCTGACTGTGTTGCATGGGGCCAACTCAATGGCAGTTATAAACAACTTGAACAACAATGATGAAGGGAAAAAAGATAGATGATAAATGAGGCAAGGTTTAGGAGAATAAACATTTCACTTAGAGCAACATCTGACCTTAGCTGGTATCATCTAAAAGGTATTAAAAGGAATCTACCTCCTTGAACTCCATCAATAGGTTCATCATGTCTCCAGGCCCCCGTATGATCTTTCCAACACTCTTTCCTATTTCTGTCATTCCTATCTCAGTTACAATTCAAGTTACAGGGAAATCTCCAGAGTAACTCTTCGTATCTACCTTCTGGTTTCAAATTTCACACATCCCTTTTTCTCTCTACACTACATTAGATTCACCTTTCTACAATATAAGCCTTGATCTTATTGTCTCCTTTTACACACGATTGCATATTCTAGAGATCAAGGTGAAATACTGGAAAGTCTACTAAGATTTGGAGTCCTGGTGTGGCACTGTAGCATCAGCACTGGACTGCTAACCACAAGGTCGGCCGTTCAAACCCACCAGCTCTTATCAGAAACCGAGCTGGAACCAACTTGATGGCACTTAACAACAAACCTGACCACAATTTACCTTCCCAGCTTTGTCTCCCTGGTGCATCACATAACACTTTACTCCTCCCACAGTCTGCCAGGAGCTCTTTTGCCTCAACAACTTCATTACAACAGGTCCCTCTATCAGAACATCACTCTCCAGGTCTCCACCTATTGTAATCCTACCTATCCTTGAAAGCCCAGCTCAAAGTTCACTTCCTTCCTGATTCTCCTGGGTAACTTTCCAATGGCAAGCATTGTTGATTAAGCCAAGCTTCATTCATTTTGCAAATGAGTAAACTGAGCTCAGAAGTTAAGAAGGTTGAAGTGACTTCTGTGGTCACATAGTCTGGTAGTCAGCTAGGTCCAGAGAGGAGAACTCGCTGTTCTTCCTACTCTTAACTGTCCATTCTCTTTTCCTCCGACCCTGCTCTGTTCTCTCCAGCCCACTCTCTTGCTGATCTTTCCTCGTCTTTTTCCACAGAAATCAATGGAACCCAGATTTGCCCCAACAACCTAGACACCTTCCATGACTTCTCTGCAGATCTGGACCATGTGCCACACCTGCGCTACCTGCGGCTAGACGGAAACTACCTGAAACCGCCCATCCCACTGGACCTCATGATGTGCTTCCGCCTTCTGCAGTCTGTGGTCATCTAGGCCTTTCCTGCGTCTCCTTTGGACCAGACTTGAATATTGGTCGCTCAGGCACCTGTGCCCACAGGCTCGCTCCAGCTCCCTTTCTTGCTCCTAACTTTGCCTTCCTTACCCCACCTTTCTGAGGCAGACAAAAGCCATATACTCTGTTGCGCCCCCATAGTCTTTGGAGTGAGACTTCTAAGGGCTTGATTTGGTTCCGCCCAACTCAAAAACACACACTGCACCCCAAAACTCCTGGATTTATATGGTCTCCCTTTGCATCAGAAGCCTGCATATATATAAAGACTCCAGGTCCTCTTCTTTCTCACTCCACTCCTCACTCCAGGGCAAGTCTGGGCCACGGACTGGCATCTGGATCTTGGTCCAGCCTGGAGTTGAGGCTCAGAAAGCTTGCTAGAGACTTCTCCATCGTGGGCAGCTCTGGTCCAAAGAGGCTGAGAGACCAAGGTCAACTCCACCAAGGATCCCTTCTTCCAAAACTGCTGCTCCACCACCCCATTCCCTAGCAACAGACATCAGCACTAGCTCTCTACTAGTATGTGTATTCCAGAAAGGAAGTGTAAGGGAATGACTAAGTGGAGGGTCAGGGCTCCAACAGGGGTTGTAATCCAGCCCCCTCTTGACAGCAATGAGCTGAGCACCTCTCCCTTTGTTCAGAATGAACACAAGCACACACCCTCCTGACTGGGCTTCTACGTTCTAAGAATAGGAGACGAGAGATAGAGCCAAGGAGGAGAATGGCTCAAGGAACCAACAGAATGGGAGAGGAGGTGGCAGTCCAAGCTCCAAGATAGATCAGTCCTACAGTCCCCCTTGTCCACCCACAAGAGGCCTGGTATCCTGAGGAACGCAATGTTCACAATGAGGGTACAAATCTATCAGCCCCGCCCACCCCCACCATCTGTTCTCAATCAGTGTGGATGGCCCAATCCAATCACAGTTCCACCCAAAGGGAGGAGGTTCCTGAGAAATGGAGAAGAGGTGGAGCTCCTGGAAATCTCCCAGAAGCCTCTTCTGTTATTTGCCAATTAATCTCCACCTTTAAGGCAGACTCACCAGTGGCACCTGCTGGCTGGTGGAGGTCACAGTCTTCCTCCTCGCCCTCTCTCTAGGGTGATTTTCTGAGGCCAAGGAAATGGCATCAGATTCTGCTGTGGAAGAGCCATGGCCATATGCGTGGTTTCTCTCTCCTCTAGTGTCAAAGGGCACAAGGTACTGAAGCTCAGAGCTGGGAGCACAAAGAGAAACCTAGCTGAGGATAGTTAGTTCCCAATTTGCTATATGGTCTTGCCTTGCTCTCAGCTCCCACATGTGTAAACCATGTTCCTCCAATGTCCCTCCAGGGCTCATGTTCAAGTCTGCAAGTCCACACTGCAGACCCCTCCAGTGCAGGACAAATCCTGAAGAGCACCTCTTCCTTGCCAGCAGTTCATTCCCTTAGGGACTGCCCCTTCTCCAGAGGCTCCCTCACCCTCTTGCTTGTCCCAGGTGAGCAACTTGGCAGGTCTCCAAGCTGTCTTGCCTTCCTCTCCTCCCCTTGCTGCCTCTACAGCCCCCTGTGCACGTATGTTGAGCAAAGTGGAGAGGAAAGTATAGAAATGAGTAAGACAGTGGTGACCCTTAAATTAAGATTTCCAGAGGTTTTTAAGACATTGAATTAAGCTAGATCCCTAACTTCAAGAAGTCTCTTCTTACCTTTTCCTAATTCACAGCAAACAGGGCCCATTTCATCAGCCTCCTTCCCACCACGCTTCCCTCCAACTGCCTCATTCTTGCTAGCTGCCTCTGGTTTCTCCAAAGCTCACTGCTTAAAGTCTATATACTTTTGTGGCTGTAAGCAACCTGGTGCTATGACTTGGATAAGCCACCCATCTGCACCTTGTTCACACCTCACAACCTCAGCTCCTTTGATAAGGCCCTCAGGGAGCCCCCAGGAGAGAGGGGGAGGTCCCCTGCTCCTACAGAGACAAAGCTGTTTTTGTTCCAGCAACAACACAATCACCATCATTCCACTGCCCCATCTAGAATGTGTCTGATCCCTTCCTTGTACTCTGTAGCTGTGGGCCAGGGGTGATTTGAGATAAATTGGCTTTATAGCCCTCCCTCCACCATTTCCCTTGGGTTTCCTTTGGATTTAAGAAAGACCCTCCTTCTCCCGCAGGTACACCCCTCAGTGCTGTTACCATCTACATATACATGTGTGTAGGTAGGTTTGTATGTGTATCTGTACATATATCTAGTCCCCTTCAAGACCATGCTAACTTTGTAAAACCATTTTCACATTCCAACATGCTTCATAGCAGAGGTAATAAAATAACTGAAACACACCCTTGCTTGAATTTGACAGTGTGAACAGATTGCTACTAACTCTTTAAAGTCATCTTGACACCCCACACCACCACCTCACCACACACAGACACACACACCTCTCTTATTTGCTCCAACAAGATAGACAGAGAAAAGATCTTATTCTTAAGGAAACTCCTAGATATAATTCCAAGATCTTTTCTTAGTTAACCCATCAAAAAAAAACTCATAACCTTCTGAAACATCAGTTCTAACGTTAGACTAAACAATTGAAGCCAAAGTCTACCAAATGCTCAATACTGAGCCCGCCACAGTTCTCAAATCTGGGTAGACTTTGGTGCTGTAAAATAAGCACTGGACTGCTAACCACAAGGTCGGCGGTTCAAATACACCAGCCACTACACAGTGTCAATATGAGTCAGAACCAACTTGACAGCACTTAACAACAACAGTAATAGTTCTATTGGAGTTCTAACAATGGAGTAGGAAAAACACTGAACTGCTTACCAAAAGGTCGGTGGTTCAAACCCACCTGTTGTTCCTAGGAAACCCTAATCAGGGTTACTATGAGTCAGAATCCACTCAAAGGCAGTTAACAACAATGGCTATATCAGAACCCTGGTGGTGCAGTAGATAAGTGATAGGCTGCTGACTGGAATAGGTCACTCACTGGAACCCACCAACAGGAGAAAGATGTGGTAATTCTGTCATAATCATAGCCTTGTGCCCTGTGGGGCAGTCCTATGTAGGGTTGCTGTGAGTCACACTAAACTCAATGGCAGTGAGTTTGGTTTTGGAATACCTATATCTCTAGTAATGAGGGCACTGAAGTATGCTGCATGACATGGTCGGGGACATACACAAAACGTCCCCGTTGGGTACTCCTACAAATCAGTAGATACAAAAATGTCACATGTCAGTCACTGTTCCTGACCAAAGAAAGCTCACGGGCTAGTTGGGGAAAAGGAGTATGTGCAGGGATCAGCGAAAGAGCTGTATCAAAGGCAGAGAGCAAATTAGAATCCTCCAGATGGCCTACAGGCCTGCAGTCCTTCAGAGAAGGGTGTGGTCAGGGGACCTGATTCTTTCCTCTGAGGGAAGGGTTGTTCCAGAAGCAGGATTCCTCATCCTCCCAGCCTATGCTACCGCACCTTCACTAGGAGGAAGGCTGCTCGATGCGGAACCTACCCTCTCCCACCTGCCTGTGAAACATCTGTTTCCATTCAATGCTGCAAGTGGACATAGAGTATGTGCCGCATTACTGGCAAGGAATGCAAGAAGAGGTCATGTACATGCCACTCCCTGAAGGAATTCATGGCTTTCTAAAGGGAGAAATACAGGAATTCATAATTCTATGTCTTAAGTGTTGGTAGTAATCATGTACAAAGAGTATGGAGGGGAGATCCTCTATCTCAGCCTGGTGGCAACCAGAAAGTCTCCAAACCCATGAACTGGATCTGAAGACATGAATTAGATCATGCCAGGTGGGAAAGGGAAGAAAATCACATAAACAGCAAAAAGGTAAGAAGGAGGCTTGTGTGTGTGTGTGTGTGTGTGTGTGTGTGTATTAAAGAAAGAGGAGCATGTTCCAGTCATGGAGTTATGGGGCCAGGAGCCCTCAGCAGAGAACACATCCCTGTTGTTCAAAAAGCAGGAGGGTTCCTGAGCTTTCTAGCCCCCACCATAAAAGCAGCAGCTGGCCAGACTTCTACCCACACCTCCATTCCATTCCATCAACCTGTCCTGGGCTTCTCCTTATGAGAGGTTAGGATTCAGATCCCCTTTCCCAGACTGTCTGGGAGCTGAGCTACCTGGAAGAACCACATGGTGCTGAGACTGTTTCCCACACAGAAATCCTTAAAAACCAGAGTGTGGGATTAGGGAGAAAGTGAGAGGCTGAGGGGAAGATGGAAGAGGGTCTACAATATGATGCCTGTGTCCAAGGTGGCTCCCTGCCAGGAGGTGTGTGGGAGCAGACCCATGCGTGGCAGTGAGGCTGGCTACAGGGCAGGGGGCACCGGGACAGAGGAAGGAGAACAGGGTGCAGGAGGGAAAGTGGGAGCAGGTGCAGGGAGAATGAATGAAAAGTTGCATTTGCATTCCTCACTGGGGAATAAATGGTGTGGGGTAGGAGGTGGAGGCAGCGGGCCTCCAGTGGGCAGCTCTGTGAAGAGAAGACAGGATCACAGTCCTTTCAAGTGTGCCATCTGCTGCCTGACTACCCTTCTGGCCCAGGGCACTCTCTCTTTCCACCCAGCAGATCTCCCTATGGTATCTCTCTATGGATGGGAACTGCCAAAGCCACAGCTATATGCATTGCCCTGGTGACCAAGTTATTGGGCTGGGGAAGCCCCCTCCCACACCTGCTGGTGTCCACAAACACTGCAGACCCCCTGGGCCAGGCTATGAGATCTGTTCTCTCACCTGGCGTGCCAGGGCAGAGATGAGTTCTGCCAAAGCCATCTGTTCTGAAGGCACCAAGACACATGGTCTTGGGCTCTGGAGACAAAGTGAGAAGGGGAGGGTCATACGAGTAATGGAAAACCCTGTGGCTCCAGAGTCAGGAAATTTCTGTGCTGTCCCTGCCTCTGTGACCTTGGGCAAGTCATCGCACCTCTGGGCCTTAATTTCCTCATTTGTACAATAAAGGTCTCAAACTCCATAGTTAGAAGACCTCACAGCTGGGATTCAGC